AAATGTTTTAAAGTAGGACATTCAAGAAATTCAGTTTGAATTTTTTTTTAATTTCTTTTTGAATTTAAGTCTGACTCGAGCCAACGTGACCGGCCCATTAGAATGGCATTTGTCTTTGTTTTCCTTGGTATTAAACGGCTGCAAATACATGTATTTCATCAAAACAACAGCGGAATAACTAAAACAGTTCAGTCAGAAATGGTTGTAGTATTTCAAAAGGGGAAAAGTTAAACTGACTTGGCCATGTCTGTAACCCAAATCAGTTAATTTATGTGTTAAAGGTAGTGTATGAGATTTGCATGAACTGCAATTTGCCAACATTTTCCGATTTTACTTTGTGTATCATTTCACGGATTTGTTTCATTTTTTGAGTTCACGTCTTTGAGAAAAATCGAGAAAAACGCTGTTCATTTTGAACACTCATTGGTTGCAGGCCAGTAAGTACATGCACGTCCAAAGATTGCCTGCGCCGACCGAATCACGCGGACCGAATCACGGTTTGTAGGCTGTCAAATTCTCTGCTATTAGAGAAAGGGGGAAGATGAAATCTGCCAGCAGGACTGTCAGCTTGAAGTCTGAAATACTGGACCAAACGGGGCCATCCAAATTGCTATATTTAGCCATGGAGTGTACGCATCAATTTAAATGGCGATGGGTCTAATGACTGTTCTTTTATTAGGGATGATTATCTCTGGAGAGAAATATGTTCAACACTCATCGGTTAAGCCACTGAAAATTGAAAGGAAAATGAAAGATGGGGTAGTGAGCTTTAATTTTAAATGTGTCTGAGAAACTTGTATTTTTGACGATTTTTTGGAAGTGGGGGTATTTACCACTGACGTCTATGGCAGCTTATTTCAAGGTCTGCATCCAAAAGTGAAAGTCGCTTAATTTTCTCTCAAAAATCCATGGGCCATAGGACTTTCGTGAGTGCCTGGACAATGCACTGTCCAGGCCGTTTTCTAGACCAATCATGGCCCTCAAAAATGCACTTTTCCATGGCTTCACCTTGTATAGTGGTTGGCAAATTTACTTCAAGTTTGTGTGCCCTCTTCAACAAGCAACGCTGAGAGTTTGTCGAATAAGCACCGTTTCATTGTGCAGTGAATTGACTGCAGTCACCGCATGCAGTCACTGCGCGACCTGAGTACACCCACATGTGCACTATCATAAGCATTTTATAGCANAAAACAGTGTAAAATCAGCACTGTTCAGGGCCCAATAGCATGCACGCCAACATCCCTGAGATTTCTGAAACACAAATGAAATTCTTGTCTGGTCACTTATCTTTCAATTTTAAATTATTCTCACAAAAGAACCCCCCCAAAAGTGACTTTTCCAAAGTCTGATTGCAGCCATTTTTCAAGTGGCAACCCTCAACATTTTTCGGGCACTTAGGACCATTTTTCAACTGTAGTTTTTAGCCTTTCTGCTCTCATATGAAAGCTCAAAGACCCAGGGAGTTGATCCCGGCAACGATTTACACGATCTCACCATTTTGGGGGCCAAACAATCTCCTTTTTCAAAAGATACCGTGGGGGGCACTTTTAATGCTAGAGAGCTGGCCAGAAATTCTCACTTGAATTAGTGGTCTGCATCCTACACAGTCATTGCTCGCTCTTCAGACGTAGTACATGTATACCGTACCTGTATGTCGGTCAAGACCAGTCCACACCCCGTAGTGCCCATCATGAGCACTTTATGTGTCAAAAGAAGTTCTTTTCTTCTTTTTCCAAGCGATTCGTTGACTTCATATACTTTAAGACTCAGGAACATTGAAATGAGAAACAGTTACAGTTTAAGAGGTCGGAGGAAAACCCCAGAGGATTATTCTGGGTACTAAAATTATTATGGGTACTGGGACTAAAACCCAATCCACAAGTGGACCGAGCCGGGAATCGAACCCGGACCGCAGAGGTGGAAGGCGAGGAAAGAACCACTAAGCCAACCCAACTCTCCTAAATATGGTAACTTCATGTATCCTTGCATTTGGGGCATGAGAGTTACTGTGACTGGAAAAACAGGAAGCTAAATGTCTCAAAATTGGAGATTTTGTTTGAGACAAACAGGCTTCGCCATGAACTCCGAAGGAGCGGCCATATTAGCGTTTTGGGCATCACCTTAAAGCCAATGAAATCCGATTTATTGTTTCTCGTCTGGGGTTTTTCAAATTTAGATGCGTTTTCTTTTTTCCTTTTCATTAGGCCTATTCCTTATTTTCTATCACGGAAAGATAACATCCTTTTCACATGCATAAGACCTATGTGGTTCCGTCACCCGATCTTTGGTGTGTCTGGAATTTGGGCGTAGTAGGGCAATATTGAGACTCGACAACATGGACTCGGACTTGAGCCGGACTCGGACAAAAATGGACTCGGGCTTGGCTCAGACTCGGTCCCTCGTGGAATCCGCTTGGCTCGGACTAGATGGACTCGACTTCGTCACTGGTACACCTGCCTACTTTAGTTCAGACGGGCTACAATAACTAAACAACTGTTTAACGAGAGTGATTCTTAATGCTCTTTCCTGGACTATATCAGCATAGAGGTAGATACCAGGCACCGTCACCACTACCATCTCGATAAGAATGTCCCACATTATGAGGATTATAAATCGTCACCAACACCACGAAGTAATACAAATCTATAGATGTGTGCGCGCTTCAACGCGTACTTTATAGAAATAGATATTTTCGTTTTCATGAAGAGGCACAAATGTCTTGCGTCGCGTGCTCCGTGATTTGCCGTATTCAGAAACTGACATTCTCCTTAATTTACACAGTTACGAGTATTAAGAGCATTTTTATTTCAGTTTAGTCACCCATTTACGGGTAAAATAAAATGATTTTAGACATTTAAAGCTTTTTTCTATGCTATATTGACAAAGCACACATGATTTGTGCTTCTTCGTGAAAACGAAAACGAGTCACAATTGCAAATCAAATTGCAAATCAGTTGCTGCGCGCCATTAGGACAGATGACTCAAACATATTTTCCAATATCTTAGGACCCTGGGGTTGAACAAATAATCACAAATGTCAGTACCTAAATCTCTATAGAGTAACCATCTTTAAACTGTTCTCCCTTTCAAAACCATCAAGATTCATATCATGATTTTCAGGATTTTTATCTTTTCCCTCTGTTTTCACTTTTTAACTTTTCCAGTTTGGTTTTATTCGGTCTACTTTATTTTTTTGTATTACTTGTTTTATGATTATTTATTTTCATTTTTTTCCTTTATACTTGCGAGTCCTTGTTGAGGTAGGTCCCCTAGTCAAGTACATGTACAAAGACAAGTTAAGAAGTAAACGCCATGACAACGTTAAAGTGTAGCTGCAATGAATTCATCTTAGACCCAATTTTCTTCAACTTTATACTCTTCTTCATTGAATGAAAATTATTTGACATCCATTTTCGGTGAAAAAAATTGAAAATGCAATTTTTTAAACATTAAAAATTACCCATGCTTTCCTACACAACTGAGGGCGCTGTTGCTGTGATGTCATTTGGGCACTGCAAAAGTTTTCTGTTCAAATTGCGAACCCAAACTTAACTCAATGAAAACATTTCTGAGAAATGGTTGCATGCTTGCTTATAGCTACTTACACAACAATGTATCACCCAAAAGAAAATTGAGGCCAGCAAAATCAGCAAAGTCATAGGTTTGTGCACAAATTCTCTACTGGAATGACATCACAGTTTTGCTTACGAATATGGCAATACTCATTAGCATAAAGCCGAAAAGGCAGCAAAATACCCTTTCAAACAGTATAAAGCAAAACTTGAAAATGAGGTTAACTAAGATATGAAGGCGCATCTGTGCAATTGTATTAAAAAATGAATTGCAGCTTCCATTTAAACGTTCTCAGCAGCTGTTCGCCGACAAGCAACTCCACGGCGTCATGATGCCCGTGATCAAAGACCGAGGGGAAAAAAGTGATTAACCTAACAATGAGTCGTCAAGTTTTATGAAAAATATTCCTTACCCACTAGACTGAAACTGTAGGGCCCTACTCCCGTTGTTTGATGACTATACCTGGCTTGGGAAGGTTACCCATACAAGAGTGCCAATAACTGATCAGAATTTTTAAAAAAAGAAAACGGAAAAAAAGAGAAGATAATGTGTAACACTCACGCGGAAGGTTTTTTTTACCGAGATCCGAGTGAAGGTTTTGGTTGAACTTCTCTGTAACTATATCGAAAGGGGTAAACCTGTGACCTATTAATGGTTGCTCAACACATTGTACATGTTTTATCAAGTTGGACAAAAGACGTTTTAAACGCTGTAACAGCCATTCTTATGGAAATCAATATTCTCGATCTCAAAGTACCTGGACAAGGAGTATGTTTACAGGCAACAATAGTCAGTGGGGAGATATCAAGAAGAGCCGAAAAAGATCAAGACAGCTGCTTTGTTGAAGCGTCTTCTTCAAAGAACTAGCGGTGAGCATTGACGATCTGTTGCCCTGACCACTATTTTTCAATTTTAATTATTTATTCATTTATTTTTTACTTCTTTATGTCAACTATACTTTCGCGCCTTCACTCTGCCCTGCTTTTAGCCCCCACTTCTTCTTTTGTATCTGCTGACTTCCAGTTATCAACCCCTAAGTAATCGAAGTTGTAAATGCTACGCTAATGCCCAATGAAATTAGCGGGGCGCTGTCAATTTCATTGAAGGTATTACACGGCCTGCTGGCTCCAAATTCTACTTCATTGTTCCGGGGGCTTTTCATCAGACGCGTCAAGTCCCCTAGAAAAGCGCCCCAGCTTTTCAAAACTTGTTTTTATCTCTGATTGAGCGCGTGGCGATTTTCTGGAGCGGGTCTTGTCGCGTCGGGCGTGAAAAAGTGGCAGCCGGAAAAGCATAAGCTCGATTCACAAACGACTTTAATACAAGTACAGAGTTCCTTAAAAAGTAGGGTGTTCCTTGAAATATTGAGATAAATTCCCAAGAGGTAGCAAACCCGAGAAGACACTCAAATTGTAACAGTTACTTACTTGTGTGAAGTTGAGTCCGTTTAGTGGCACGCATTGTTCCTCCACCCGCTCCACGGCACCCGTTCTTTTATTCATTCTCATAGCTTCTTGGGCAAGGAAAAGATCCAAAACTGGAATGCCTCGAGATTTGATATCTGTTTCTGTGAGAGCGTTGACCATGAGCATGACCCATATCGGCCGTTTCCTCTCCCAGTTTCCAGCAATGGCATTGAAGAGATAATCGGCATAGAGGCCCCTTCCTCGCTGGTCTGCTGTCATCCATGACGGCATCATGATCTTGACATACTCCAAATGTTCCCTCAGTCGCTCAAATAAACTCCTTGGTAAAACATCGCTGAGGTTCTCCCCATGAGGAAGCAACTGGCAGTTAGTTAGGGTTGAAATAGTGTAGGTATCTGTGAGATCTAACTCGAAGAATATGTTTTCACTCTCGCCGAATGCCTGTTTGATGTTCCCTGGTATGTAGTCCCAGACACGAGTGTATGGAACGTGGATGGTGCCGAAGAAGTACGCAGGGGTGTCTCGCTTCACCCGCCATAGAAACGATTTGACACCCTGTAGATATTTCAAGTACATGTATGATGAAACATGACGACAAAGAAAATGCAGAGTCGGTTATCGGAGGATAACGCATGATATCATGCAGCCATGTGATAAACCTCTCCACAGTATAAAAACATTAAAGCCCAGACTTTGTACATGTACTGTAGGCAACGCACCAAACAGTTTGACACTATTACCGAGTCTCAGGAAGAGATTGTCGTGGTGAATAACTTTCGGCTTTAGCTTACAAGCAATGTATTATTTTTTTACGTTTACAATCTGGTGCAAATTATGCCAGTTGAAAATGTGTGCGTACTTCCCAGGAGCATGAATGTGAACAAAATAATTCAAACTTACGACTTCCAGGCCCCGGCAAATGTAAACAAATATTACAACTAGAAGTATTTCCGCGTGAAAAGATCTAAAACACGATAACGTAACCCATGTAGCATGTGAATACTTACTTCTGCTGTTGAGTTTCTATTTTCGCAATGTAATTTTTCCCGAAGCCTTTGAACGGATCCCGAGATCGGCAAGGCAAGTAGAAACAGGTAAAACACGGGTATTAAACTCATCATCCACGCATGACCAAAGACAGGCATTTTCCCGTGATTTACTCTCACAACTTCTCGGAATATCATTACACATCACAAGGCTGACAACAGTTAGTGGTGCTCTTTCTCTTGATTCACCATGTGTAACGTACGCTTTGTAGAGGCATGCACCTGTCAAATCGAGTTATGTTTACCGCATGACACCAAAGTGTGACGGCGAAGTCGAAGCGTCCCTGCCGCTCTCAAAGGCTCAATGACTTCCGTTCAGTTGCTTGCACTTCGGAGCCAATCGTTACACTAAAATATGGAGTCATAGTCGTGGTTTTTATCTGCATAACTCAGGGGGAAAAAACAGGGTCTTGTATTTTCCAAGTGTACAAGACAGCCATACCGGTGCTAGAAGAACAGATTACTGTCACCCCGTCTCTTCGAAGCGTTGTACTTGCGGGCAGTCTACCGACTAGCGTCCGCGTGCATTCAGCAATCGCACAGCGTTTGCTGCTTGACTGTTCATTCAGGCGTTGTCAGAGAGGGTTTCTCCACCACATCGAAGCAAGCCACGTACTTATGTGCAGTGCCGTTGATCATGCTGATTGGTGGGTTGGTGCTGTAAGCCAGATCGATCAAAATGCCGCGTGGGCCGACACGGATGTATGCTCACATCGAGTGTCTGGTGTCTCCGGCCGGCCAAGCTTGCTGGCTGTGTGGCGCTCGTGTTATCACACAAGATGCATGAATAGCCTGGGACTCCCGCGAGTAACGGGGACAGGAGGGTCTCATGAATGACATCACAAGAGGAGCTGAGCGAGACGGAGGTGTCAACTCCCCTTCATCAATGTATAGGAAATACTAAGCAGAAAATTCTGGTTAATCACCAGACATGACAAAGTGAACTTTCCACTGTACTGGCCCTGATTCAAGACATACAATGTTTGGTGAGTAATGTACCATATCTTGTTTCAGTATAAACAAACTAACCCAGTAAGGGATAAGTTTGTTGGTTCTTAAATGCTGTAAAAACCTTGAGATATTCTGTCCAGAAAAAACTAAAGGTTATGAATTGAAGAGACTACACATGTACCGGGCCCAACTGGCAGGTTTTTCTCTAGTGGTGATAATATTGCACATTTAAAACAAAAGGTGAACACTTTTCAGTTCCAATATTTTAGACACTACAGTCCTTATCAAATTTGTTCCTCTGGATAGGATTAAAGTCGTACGTGTTTCCCAAGATTCCCCGTACTGAAAACCGAAAGTAGTTGTGTGTGCGTGTTCTTGTCTTTGTATAGCATGCAAAGTGTCTTGCCATTGTGCGCATCTGCGTGTTTTGTGTTCCTTTTTGGTTTTGTGCTATGCTGCTTGTATTTTTGCTTGTTCGGGTTTTGTACTCTCTGTCTTTGTTGTTGCGTGTTTGTCCAGTTAAAGTTAAATGCTACTGTTTTTCTGATGGCTGTGTTAACTGGTCTTTCGGAGTGGTCGATTGCGTTGTTTCTATTTTTTTTGTCTGTATGGCTTGTGTTTCTTTTTCTTTTGTCGATTCATCAAGTAGCACCGAGGAGAACAAACGGACAGAGCAAGTAAGTACTTGTTTATTTACTTGTGTTTTGTGTTCTCTTTGTTGTCTGTTTGGAAGCAAGTGCAGATCCAGCTCCCCCCCTCCATCGCCATTTCCTTCCTACGTCTAAAGGTTGGACGACCCACTAAAAGCATAAACCATGAAAGGGTCTAATTTTGCGTGTGCAGTTCAGGAAAAAAGCAACCCAAAAGATTGAACAGGTTTGCCAATGGCGACAACTGTAGTACCCCCCAAGTTCGAACAAAAATTCCCCCAGCAAAAAAAAAATAAAAAATCCTGGGCCTACCCTATTCTTTTATAAATATATTCACAGTTTTTTGGTTTTTTGTGGTGTTTGAATGTACGGTTTGTGTGTTTGTTGCTGGAACCCGAGAGTTTCTTTACTATCATTGAATGTAAATTACTCGAAAAGCTTTCAATTGCTTTGATGCAACAAAGAACTCATAAATAACTCTTATATGCCTATGAAAAACAAAGTAAACATGTAATTTATTGATGACAATATTTAAAGGAACCAGGAAATAGAAATATTTTTATAAATTTTACTAAAATCCCTTGAAATTGCATCTTTGGGTTTCGGTTAACCTTATTTTAAATTTCTGTTTTGTAACTTTAACCCATATTTTGATTTTTTGGGGAGGTTATGCTAATGTTATTTGCATATTCATGAGCAGAACCATGATGCCATCCAAGGCAGATAGCAAATTTGGGGTTCACAATTTGAACATGAAAACATGCAACCTGAACCTGTCTTCCTGTATTTACATCAAAGCAAAAGCGCCCTCACTTGTCCAGAAAGCTTGGTCAATTTTTAATGTTTGAAAAAGTTCACCATTCAATGCACTTAACTCAAAAAAAAAGATGTCAAACAGTCTTCATACATGGAAGAAGAGTACAGAGATACACAAAAAGTGATCCTAAGAAAAATTCATTTAGGTTACAGTGTACAATGTTGGGAGGTTAAACATTGTACATATATACTTGTATACAGTAACTAAATTTCTCACAAGATATTACAGGCGAGGACTTGAGGCAGGCAATGACGAAGGACGACTCCACGGATTGCGAAACAGTGCATGCGAGCTGGATCGCGGGGTGCACCCACGTATATAAGCTAGAAATGTGTCCGCCGAGCTCATTAATAAAAGTTATACACTCAAAATATTCTATATTAGAGGGTCCTGGGAGCCATGGATCTGGGGAATTGAAGAAATATGGCACTGGACCTCTGGCCCGGACCCAGGGCTTCCAATTGTGAGCAATTCGGATGCAATCGGGTCCGAAAGTGGCACTATTTCAGCCATTTTGCAGAGGGGTGCATTTTCAAAATGGTTACTTTCCTGGGCAGTG